ATCCATTCGTTCATGGTGGGACCTGCACAATGCTGAGCTCGGTCGTGAGTAACTATTTCATCATTATGCGCCGTGTTTGCTCCAAGCCACTACGTCGTTCGATCGTCATTGTAGACTGACTTTTGTTGATCCGCCCTTGCCATTCAGTTATTCTATCTCTGGCATTGACCGGCGCTATTACCAACATTTTGAAGATCACTACCGGAAGGCCCCGTCCTGACCTCATAGACCGATGCGCTCCTCGTGCGGGTGTAACCAATCCACCCATATTCGGACTGGTGGATGATAGCATATGCACTCAGACGGACCAGAATATTATGAAGGATGGTTGGAGGAGCTTTGCCAGTGGACACTCGAGTCGTACGTCGCCCTAAACCCTGAAACTGTTCCGGTTATTCATCTGTGGCATTTAGTCAGCTTTGCGGGACTCGGATTTTTGACACTCTATCTGGCCGGAAAACTTCATCTCTTTGGTGAGGGTTATCATAGGGTAATAACAATCGTGTTACTGACGGTCCACTAGACCACGGTGGCCACACCGCCAAATCCTGGCTCGCCGTTTTACCCCTGTTTGGCGCTACGATTATCGCAATCACTCGTACTATGGACTACCGTCACCACTACCAAGATGTATTTGTTGGCATGGTTGTGGGACTGGTGGTGGCATATTTTTCTTATCGTCAATACTATCCATCTTTGGAACACCCACTATGTCACCGCCCATACGCCCCTCGGTTCGCGCCGATCGAACCTCCAAAGTCCCAGCAAGGAGAAAACCCTATGCCTGCCGCTGAAGAAACCACCGCACTCGAGGCGCAGCAGCAGTATCATGGCAAGGGTAAAGGAAAGGACATCGAGGCGCAAATGATGACGGAAGGAAAGGAAGATGTCATGGACCATGATGCGGCAGGCACGTTACCCAGAAACCAGCCGCCTCCCCTCGAACGAGTTTGGAGTAAAGGAGCAAAATAAAGGAGAAAGAACAAGGGAGGAGCCTTTACGACTGATTGAGGGTCATTCCGGATGATACGACGGTTC